ATGGGATGTAGTGCCAACGGATTTCCAATAGCTTCCTCTTGCTCGACATTTTTACTTAAGTCTCTGTCTTGTTCACTGTCTTTTGTTATAGCTTTGCTTCGTGTATTATACCGAGGTTCACCCGAGCCATTCGTCACTAGATATGCAAATTTCCTGTCAAATTTGTTTTTATCTTTATTGTGAACATTTAATTCAACAAGCCAGTATGGCTGTCGATAGACTCCTGTGATGAATGACTCGTTCGAAGTCGGGTCAAATATATCAATTTTGTTATCATTGAGGTATATGGCCAGGCCTGAATCCACAAATTTTCTCAAAGAAAGTAAGTTTTCCGACAAGGATTCAGAGCAGATCACATTATTCAGTGTTAGATCATGGTTATTATTTTTACCGACGATGGTGCCTTCTCCCTCCGTTTTCAAGTCTGCCAGAGAATTACTATTCGCACACTTAATTTTGCTTGTCTTATTACAATTTAAGCTCTTAAATACTAGCCGAGAGTTAACCAAGTAGTCGGTAGCTCCTGAGTCCGCAATGAATTTAACTAGATTGTAGTTGTCGGTCTTTAATTTATTTGCAGAACTTGAAAACAGCGAAGAGGCGATGTCGCTTTGCTTAAAAATAGTCTTACCTTTCTTGTCTTTTGTGTTTCCACTTTGTCTTTTTGTTTTACTTTCATTTTTACTAGTTTTATAACTGTCCCATTTCTGTCTTTTGTTTTGGTTGTTATTTTCACTGTCATGCTTCCTTTTTCCCCTTTTATTCGTTGAATTTTTAGATCCTTGTCCGTCTTTGTTTTCCCGTCTTTGGAAATCCCAATTTAAATTTTTCTTCTCACCTGATTTGGCACCCCTGCAATTTTTCTTATGCTCCATGAGGTTCCGTTGAAGCCTTCCGCATATATTCAGCTTGGCAGGTTGATAACGAGATGTAAGTTTGTTTATGCGTTCTCCAAGATACAGAGTCGCCAAATAGTTTTATGGCGTAATAGTTTTACAACTTTAAGACATTTTTATATGTTCCAACACATGAACATAAACTACAAACCTTCCTCTACAATCTCCAAAAAAGAAAATGTCAAAAAGTTGAGTGGCAAGATTATTTTTTGCAGTAAACGTTTACGGCGTTTCAGAACGCGTTCCCGCGTGAGTGTATACTTTTATATGTTCACTGCAACGCTGAGCCATGCAACGTATATATAAGTATACACTCACGCGGGAGCCCGCTCTGAAACGCCCTGAACGTTTATTGCAAAAAAAATCTTGCCACTCAACTTTTTGACATTTTCTTTTTTGGAGATTGTAGAGAAAGGTTTGTAGTTTATGTTTATGTGTTGACACATATAAAAATGTCTTTATTTAGTAGTCTGGTAGAGCTCTAAAAATCGGAAAAAATGCATTTTTCGAAACTTTGAGAATTTTTTACTCGAAAACTGTGGGGTTTAGGTATGTACATTCTAATTGGTTTTTTATTCTAACTGTGCCAAAGAATCTGAAAATATTTATTTCAGATCAACAAAACAACTTTGACGAAATTTTTTAAACAATAACTGATCACGTTATTAGGTGGTAAGATGAATTTTCAAGGACATTACTATATTTTGAACACAAAAGCACAAAAAAATTGGGTGCGAATAATTTTTCCCAGTTGATCACTGTTTGAGCCCAGTCTACATAGTAAAGTTAAGAGTTAGGTAAAGTTGTATTAAAGAATGAAATACCAATAATTATTTAAGTCATATGCCACAAGCTATTGGTCATAGTGGAATAGAAAGATATTACTGTGAGTGTGATAATGCAATGAGAACAATCGGTTGATTCGGCTTTTGACATAGGTCATATATTTTGGTTGGCTTGTTAGCATTATTAAATCTTCTCATGAGGCTATAAGACAATCGTCATTAATTTTAAGAATCATCGGTCTTGTTCAGATCAATCATTTTAATACAGAAATTAACGAGCTACAATGATTTGCTATACTTTTTACTACAAAAAATTATGTAAGAATATTCACCTTAAATTGCCCCTTGCCATTAATGAGAACTGTCTCAGGATCTTGACCAGTGTTGACAGCTAATCTTCCGGGAAATCTTTCAGCAGCATCTTCGTGCATCCAGTCACTTATTAGAATTATGTGAGTTGTTAAGTCATAATCGTACAGATTACTGTTAGGATCTTTACTTGGAGGTTGTCGTATAACTATACTACCATATAGACCATCCATTTTCTGTAAGCCAGTGTGTGCGTGCCAAAAGTGCGTGCCTGCATTTGCAGCAGTCCATTGATATCTAACAATGAATAGGTGCGGGATAATAAAATATATTGAATTAAAAACATGTAATTTAAACAGTTCTTATGGTATATAAATGTTATACAAAGAGAAAGTTTTGTAAGATACGTTGAATGACAATCAATAAAATTTGAAATAATACGTTAAATGGTAGTACAACCAAAATTTTTTATTATTTAACGGAAAGTCTACGTTTCAGTCGTTTGTATACCATATCTCGACCCTCATCAGGTACATACGATCACTGTGTATAAGATGTAAAGTCACAGTCTGTGATACTAAGTATATAGACATTGAGGATAGTCTATGACAGTCTCAAATTTTTAGACAGACTAGTTTTAAAACAAAAGATTATTCTTTTTTGAAGGTACGACCATTAAAATACAACTTTCGTAACAATCTTCGAGCTTGTCATTAAAACTTGTTATTTAATACTTCGTTTTTTATGACAGATTCTAATCCAGTGGCTCTCAATACGTAGTTATATGTAATGTAAGAACTAGATACTCTATTGTGGTCCTGCATTTTTTTGAATACCTAAAAAATACTTAAAGAAGTAGTAACAGTTAAAATATATTTAAGGAGACGAATGTTACTGATGTTTATTATGTACTAATACTTAAAATTATAATTAAAAAAAATTATAGTAACTACTATACCTATATTGACTTTTAAATCCACTGCACGAGGCTCTCAGGATTCGGGAAAAAGCCAGGAAGGATAACAAGAAGGGAAAAGCACTAAACACTTTGTAGAGAAATCAGAATCATTATTATTTAAAATAAACTTTTGTAATACCGTCTTTACAAGCTCTTGTTACAAATTAAGTCTTTACTGGCTAGGGACTAGCAATCAACTGAACTGGCCTGATGCGCATCATCGGGGCTCGCGTATGCATAGTACATATATACTAGCAGAGATGGCGCTTTATACAAACTCTTATTCTAACACACCCTTCAGTTTAATGGAGCGCCTATCTCTGGACGATTATAAGAAATAAGTAATGTAAAAAGAATAAATAAAATGTATCAATGAGTCAGCCTCAATCTCGCTTTTCTTCAGGTCTTTGTAGTCTGCTCACTGATTGTTGTTACTTAAAACAGAATTCAAACCATAAGGATTAAATTCTATTGATTAAACGAGATTCACTGTCATGTAGTCCTAACAGTCATTTAGTAATTTTGCAGTCATTCTCTCATGCAATTCAATCGGTAAAGCTTTAGTAAAAATGTCGGCAATCTGTTCTTTAGAGGCAATCCACTTGATTTCTATGAACCCATATTTAGCACATTCTTTCACATAATGTTCTCGCACTGATGACATGTGTCTAAGTTTGGTTCCTCCATAGGACTTGGCGCTGGCTTCGGCTGCTTTATTGTCACACCACACAGTCATAGGATAAAGTGCGATATTTAGCACAGCTGTCAAAGTGTTTCTTAGAGCCATGAGTTCTTGACATGCCTCACTCATAGCTATATATTCAGCTTGGCAGGTTGATAACGAGACGTAAGTTTGTTTATGCGTTCTCCAAGATACAGAGTCGCCAAATAGTTTTATGACGTATCCACTCGTCGTATGCGAATCTTTGCAATCTGCGAAACTTGCGTCCGAATAAGCCGTCATGATTTCTGTGCTTCCTTTAAAAGTCAGTCCTTTCTTTCTAGTACCATTGAGGTAACGGAAAACTCTCTTGACCATTTGTCTGTCTTCTTCTGTGGGATTGATCTGATGTCTACTTAATACGTTCACTGCATAAGATATATCAGGTCGAACAGTATTTGCTAAGTACAGCAAACTGCCGACTGCTTCTCGATATGGGAAATCTTCTGGCCTATTCACACTTTGCTCTTCTTCGTTTCCAGATTCTTCTCTGTCTCTTCGTTGCTGATTTATGACTTGTCTCGTCACCATAGGTGTCTTGCACTGTCGAGCATTGTCGAAACCAAATCTCTGCAGTATTTTGTTCGTATATTTGTCCTGGGTTAAACGAATGGTTTGATTTCTTCTGTCTCTGTCGATTTGTATTCCCAGGAAATTATTTGCTTCCCCTAGATCTGTCATTTCGAATTCGGCTTTAAGCTTATCACTCACTTCTGTAAGTTTATCGATATCGTTGCTTGCCATCAGCATATCATCCACATACAAAATCAAAAATAAAAATTTGCCAGCACATCTCCATATGAACAGACAGGGCTCACTTGGGTGTTCCTGGAGTCCTATTTTTGTGGCAGTCTCTGAAAACCTCTCATACCAGCGTTTGGGACTAATTTTAAGACCGTACAGGGATCTTTCCAACTTGCAAACTTTGGTTTTTCTTAACTCTTGAGCACACGGAACACCATCTGGTATTTCCATGTATATATCGTCATTCAGTGTACCATTCAAGAAGGCAGTCTTCACATCAAGCTGTCGTGTTTCCAAGTTATATTTGTTTATGACAGCCAGTAAGACTCGAATTACTGCTAGTCTTGAGACTGGAGCATAAGTTTCCAACAGATCATATTGGTTTCTGTCTTTAAATCCACGGATCACTAACCTGGCTTTATATTTTATGTTTCCAGAGTTGTCTTCTTTCCTTTTCAGAACCCACCGGGAGTCAATTATATTTGGTTTTCTGCCTTTGCTATCACTCATTGGTTTATTTACAATTTTCCAAACAAGGTTGTCGTTCATCGACTTCAGTTCTTCTTCTATAGCTTTCCGCCATTCTGCGTTGTTTTTGCTCTTCAGAGCATCTTGGTAGTTGGTTGGATCTTTGTAAATTTCTGCTAACAGTGCATGATATACTTCATCCTGATTTTGATCCACAGAGCAGTCTTCTTCGTTAAAATTTTCCTGTCCAAATCTGATTTGATTATTTGAATCATGGGGGACCTGCAGTCCTGTGAAACTAGTGTCATGTATTAGCTTCTGTCGTTTCGCTGGTAAGAGCTCTTCCGTATTTCCTGAACCAGATGTTTTCGGCGGTCGTCCTCTCTTTCGTTTGACGATTTCTCCCTTCGTTTTTGTGCTCTCTTCCGTCTCTTCGTCGAACTTCAGGAGCCAGCTGTCGTTATCAACTGTCCTTGTAACTAATTCCCAATTCACTATATCGTTTTTCAGGTATCTGTCTTTGTATACCAGTCGTTCATTGAATCTCACATCTTTGCTTTCATAAAATTTTCCGTCTTCAGGTTTCATCAGAATAAATCCTGTGGCTGTGTATCCCACTAGAACAATTCGTTGAGCTAACGGACTGAACTTCAGGCCGGAATTTCTTTGAATCTTCATGTATCCCAAGCACCCAAACCGTTTCAGTTGTTCGATATTGAGATCCTTATGCGGTGCAAATTTTACCAACGGAATTTCCATTCCATTCGACCTGTGAGGTGTTCGGTTGTAAGCATAAACTGCTGCACTCAGAGCCAAGTCCCACATGTTCTCTGGGAGACCGGAGTCGAACATGTAGACTCTTGTCTTCTTTGCGATTGTTTGGTTGAATCGTTCTGCCGTCCCGTTGTGCTCCGGTGTATCCGGGCTGGCTAGCTGCAGTTCGGCCCCCAGTTCCTTTAAGACCTCTCGGGTATGGCCACCAGTGAATTCCGTACCTTGGTCAGACCTAAGATAGCAGAACTTGGCGTCATACCCCAAGATGTTTCTGGCGCTCCGGACAAAATTTTCCAGGCAAATCCCTGTATCACTTTTAGCTTTCATTGGATATGCCATGGCCATTCTTGAATAATCATCCACAAACACTGACACAAACTTGTAGCGTTTGGGGTATGAAGTTGGACTTATGGGACCCATGGTATCCGAATGAATAATTTGGAGGGGAGCGGTGGATCTCACTCTAACTGTCTTAGCCGGAAGTTTGTTGAATTTTGCCTTGGAGCATACATCACAATTAGCTATACTGTCATCAAATATGACTTTTTTCAGATCTTTGCAATTCGGAAATTTCTTCTGAAATGCCTTTAGGTAAGCGAGGGAAGCATGCCCCAATCTCACGTGCCATAGGATGGCCTCGTCCATGAGGCTTGTTTTTTCAAGAGTTCTATAGCTGTCATTAATGGGTGTATTGTCCACGCTTATTTTATTAGGATTCAGAAGCTTACGGTCATTGACTGAGTTATCAAGGCAAGATTCTATGGGATGTAGTGCCAACGGATTTCCAATAGCTTCCTCTTGCTCGACATTTTTACTTAAGTCTCTGTCTTGTTCACTGTCTTTTGTTATAGCTTTGCTTCGTGTATTATACCGAGGTTTACCCGAGCCATTCGTCACTAGATATGCAAATTTCCTGTCAAATTTGTTTTTATCTTTATTGTGAACATTTAGTTCAACAAGCCAGTATGGCTGTCGATAGACTCCTGTGATGAATGACTCGTTCGAAGTCGGGTCAAATATATCAATTTTGTTATTATCGAGGTATATGGCCAGGCCTGAATCCACAAATTTTCTCAAAGAAAGTAAGTTTTCCGACAAGGATTCAGAGCAGATCACATTATTCAGTGTTAGATCATGGTTATTATTTTTACCGACGATGGTGCCTTCTCCCTCCATTTTCAAGTCTGCCAGAGGATTACTATTCGCACACTTAATTTTGCCTGTCTTATTATAATTTAAGCTCTTAAATACTAGCCGAGAGTTGACCAAGTGGTCGGTCGCTCCTGAGTCCGCGATGAATTTAACTAGATTGTAGTTGTCAGTCTTTAATTTATTTGCAGAACTTGAAAACAGCGAAGAGGCAATGTCGCTTTGCTTAAAAACAGTCTTACCTTTCTTGTCATTTGTGTTTCCACTTTGTCTTTTTGTTTTACTTTCATTTTTACTAGTTTTATCACTGTCCCTTTTCTGTCTTTTGTTTTGGTTGTTATTTTCACTGTCATGCTCCCTTTTTCCCCTTTTATTCGTTGAATTTTTAGATCCTTGTCCGTCTTTGTTTTCCCGTCTTTTGAAATCCCAATTTAAATTTTTCTTCTCACCTGATTTGGCACCCCTGCAATTTTTCTTATGCTC